TTTGTACTGTTCTCAGAATGGACAACGTAAATATGTTGAGTAGTTTTACTTACAAATTTTCGACAGTAACTTGTGGTTTTTATGGTGGCCCACAAATGCAAAACATGGCTGGTTGAAATAATCCAAAGAGTTAGAATTAATCGATAATCGATAGCTGTAGAGCCCAGTCTCCAGTCGTCGATCCCGTTGCTCCGCGCTAGGTTCCATTCCATTAAGACTTTTTTTGCTTCCAGAAACATTGTCGTGTTCTGTGAGATTTCATTATGTTCCACTTCTGTTTTGTGTTCTGTAAGATTTTACTTTGTTCCCCAAAACGTTGTTGTGTTTTGCAAAACGACGTTGTGTTCTGCGAGATTTTATTTTGTTTCCAGTCCAATTGAATTTGTTTTGCCCTTGTGGGCCACCGTAAAAACCTGTTCAAAAATCCTGTTCAATCATTTTCTTGCCTCCAAAATATACTTCATAATATCACAAATGAACCAGTAATTCAAATTGGTATTGAAATTTCACAATAATTGTTGTGTTCTGCGAGATTTTGTTTCCCCGTCCAATTGAATTTTGTTTTGGTCTTGTGGGCCACCGTAAAAACCACAGGTTACTGTCAAAAGTAAAACTACTCAACATATTTACCCCGTCCATTCTGCATAAATTGGTTGCGCAGACATCATAATTCTAAGAACTTTGAAACGTCTGCGCAACCAATTTATGCACAATTATGCATATAACTGTCTATTGAGTCAGAAATGTCGCTTCGCTAAAATGTAAGACAGAGATTTGGGAAATCAAGGGCAGGAAAAAAGTTATGACTCTGCTTTATAATTCGACCCAAAATTTGAAAAATCGCGCTGTTGAAACATTACCATTGAATGGTATCGTTTTCCTAGTATTGCAGATGAACCTTTGGAAAAATCAGCATCAACTTTTAAAAACGTGATAAATAAAGAAATATTTACTAATAAAATATGAGATTTCAAGTTTTTTTCTTTAAGCTCCCTACATTAATGGCTAGAACGTATCTAGATTGTAGTGAAATTTCTATAACTTGTCCTGTCCAAGCTTCGGAGAAAATGTTTTTTAAAGTAAAGTATATCATATATCCCTTCAAAAATATTGGGATACTACTGAAATATTTAGGGTCAAATATTTAGGATTTTAAGGTGAATTCGAAATGTTATTTTTGAGTCTATTTCAGACTAACATTGTTTTTTTAAAGATTTTGTCCTCCTGCTTGCTTAAAATTGATAGATCTTCGTGAAACAGATTCGTACTAAATATATAGCATTCTGTCTGCCGAGTTTGGAGACAATCTATCGAGACAATGTTTTGTAATGCTTTTTTTTTCGACCCTTTTTGCTGTAGCCTCCTTCGCAGCCGTTCTTAGGGCCGTCACGCAACGGAGGGAAACGTTGCGTAATGACCCTAAGAACGGCTGCAAAGGAGGATATTCTTGCTGCCACCTACTTGCACTTGACAGAAGTTTAATTTATACATTTATCGTATACATGGCAAAATTACTCGATGCTGATTGTCGCATCGCGACTCGGGCAATTTCAAAACTTTGAAAACACTCATGAAATTAATCCTTAATTTTACTCGGCCCCATACGATTACCTATACAAAACCTTTAGTCCTGAATAGCATGTTTTCGCACTTACATGATGTTGCACTGAAACGCCAGTGCAAACATGTGAAACACCAGTGCAAGAATGCGAAACACCAGTGCAAGAATGTGAAACACCAGTGCAAGAATGTGAAACACCAGAGCAAACATGTGAAACACCAGTGCAAGAATGTGAAACACCAGTGCAAGAATGTGAAACACCAGTGCAAGAATGTGAAACACCAGTGCAAGAATGTGAAACACNATGTGAAACACCAGTGCAAGAATGTGAAACACCAGTGCAAGAATGTGAAACACCAGTGCAAGAATGTGAAACACCAGTGCAAGAATGTGAAACACTTTTCAGTGATTGGTTGAAAAGACAAAAGAAATTCAAAATAGCCAATCAGATCACAGCAGTTGTCATAGCAACAGAACAGCCTTCCCTCTCTGGAAATTCTCAGAAAATTCAAGATGGCGGATTTTCATCTTAAAAATGGATTCAAAAATGCTAAAAAAGTCAAGCTTCATCACTTGAAAACCAGCACAAAGGGTTGAGAATGGCAAAAGGAGGACTCGCTGCTTGTTATTTGAGAATTAAGAAGGAAAGAAAACATCAGTTAGGCCATTTTACAGCTGTTCAAGGTCACTTGACGCGAAAATTGAAGCGAGAGACGTTGAAACTTCATGTTGAAACTTCAAGGGCTTTCGTCTACTTTATCCGTAAAGAGGTACATAATACTTCTTTATAAAGAAAGCAGCTTATTCAACTTTCCTTTGAGTGTTTAGGAGATATGTAAAACGCCCCCTCCCCCAAGGGCCCAGGACAGCCCGACGTCGCCCTTGGCGCATAACCGCTATTTGTATACTACTTTAATTTGTCCTTTTGTAATAATTTACTCGCATCTCATTTTCTTTCATTTACTTAAATCGATAATCCAGCCAGACAAACCAGCATTCATTTCGGTCAGTAATAACATGATTACCTCGGAGTTCATTGTCTTTGGAGGGATGTTTAAGGACTAACATCCCTCCTTCATGAATGACACGAGGGAAACTTAGAAACTAAATATCCCTCATGTTATTCATGAGATATTGTCCCTCATAACGCAATCATCGGAACACCGAGTCTAAAAAGACCCGGTTCGAAATCAGATGCATGGTTGATGACCATGTATGCCATCCTGATAAGTGCTATATGCAATGTGGGATAGAGAAAGAGGTCTTTGAGTCAGAGTCTAAAGGCTAGCTAAGATCTATAATTGCAAACAGAAATTTGACTAAAAGATGAGTGCAATATATATATTTTTCCATTTTAGCATAAGTAGACATTTCTCATGTTGATTGCGCATGTGCGCAAATGTATTTTTAATGTTGTTGTTTTAACATTGCTTTATCTCTTTACTTATTTATAACATTGATATTGACTGTTACATTGTGTAGCGTTGCCCCGTGTAGAATTCCTCCTACATCTATATTTGTTTCACTTGCTTCATACTCTTCGTGTCGATAATTACTGCCGTCCTTCTTTTTTACTTCAACCACAAAATCTACTGAACCAGTAGTCCATTTCCTCGATTGTGATGTTTTCTAGCATCGGCACACTCGGAAATCTTACGTTTTCTGGCTCAAAATCTTCGAACGCTATGCTTCTCTCTTTGGCACAATGCTTATAGACATTGGTACTCCAAAGTGTGTGCCTTTTGGTACTTATGGGGACTGTCTTCACCCTTGCTTCCTCCACTTTTTCTTGGGATACGAAAGAAAAACGCCTTTGAGCCATCTTTGCGAGCTTAAATTCGAATGAATATCATGCAGTGCATATGCAAACGACTGAATGAATTTCGAATTATGAATGTGTGTGCAATTGCTTTGTGTCATTTAAAAAGAGGCAAATTCCCAAGCGGCATTGGTTAAATCAGCAGCTTTGTAATACTCTGTAATTTATGCATTTAACTATATCTAACACATTTTTCTAGTTGTCTAGTTTTATTCCTCGGAAATCATGTTATTACGAAGTAATTACATGACTTTTTTTGGGATATTAGTCATTAAATGTCCCCTCGGCCTCGGGAGGTTTAGTAAAAGTCCCTCGGCCTGCGGCCTCGGGCCTTCTACAAAACCTTCCTCGGCTTCGGGGATATTTAATGACTAATATCCCTCAAGTCATGTAATTACTTATAAATAATCTTCTTTCTTCTCGACTAATCCTCTTAAAACCTCCTCTTAATATCTTAAAAGATCCTCTTAACCGATCTCTGATTCATCCTTTTTTCCTTTCAGAAAACGAGAACTTTCTGACAATTAAGTCCAGTGAAGTAAAACGATTCTTTCAAAATGAACGACGAGAAGATTTGTTCATTGGTTCGTACTTGCATTTCCTACGGACATCTTGGATACTTGAATTTAGACAATCAAGAGTTAATCTGCCTTTACAACGAATGCCTAGCCATATCCGACCACTTTGGGGACATCTTCAGTGGTGTTCAGTTATGCATGCTTCTTGGTGAGTTGAAAGGAAAAAATTGTTTTGAAGAGTCTTCAAAATATCTAAACAAGATGTTGAAAGTTTCAGAACGAAACGGTAACGAAGAAGAGCTAGCAAATGCGTATTTATTGATGGCAAAGAGATCATCCGAATCTTTATGTGAATACGAAAAAGCCACTGAGTGTTGTAATGAAGCCATTAAGATCTCAAAAAATCTTGGTATAATTGCGATTGAGGGACATGCATGCGGGATCCTTGGAGGCATTTATAGCAAATTGGGCAAACGCTCCGAACTGGAGGAATGTTCAAAAAACTGCATAAGAATCGGCAAAGAAACAAGCAACGAGAATTTAAAAGCCGTTGGCTACTTGTACTTAGGAACCGCCTATACTGGCCTGGGTAGATCGATAGAAGCCATTTCATCTATCCAAAAAAGTATCGAAATTGCTTTAAAAATGGATTACAAAGAGATTTTAAGAAAAGCCTATGGAAACCTCGCAACTGCTTATTTCAGCATACCTAATTTTGCTCAGGCCATGAAATATACGGAAATGGACTTAAATGCAAAAGAACATATTACCTCTGACAAAGAGGTAGAAATTATTTCTTGCCAGTCCAAGGGAATTGTTTGCCGTTTGTCATTGAAATATCAAGAGGCCGTAAATCATTATCAAAAAGGCTTAAGCTTGTCCTTGGACATAGGAGCCAAACATATTGCAGCGTATTTTTATAAAAATTTGGGAGAAGTCTACTGGTTACAATGCAAATACCATGATTCCAAAATATATTTTGAAAAAAGTATCGAAGTCTTCAAAGACATTGGAAACAGATCTAAAGAATGGCAAACATATCTGCGTTTTGCAAGAGTGTATTTTTCTGTTGGAAAGTTCCAAGAGTTTCTTGAATACACTAAAAAAAGCCTGACGATCGCCATCGAAAAGAATAATAAAAGGGCTCAAATGCACTGCTATAGAGCCTTCGGAATCGTTCATCAACAGTTAAATAAATATGAAGAAGCACAGTCTTACCATGTGAAGCACCTATTGTGCACTTTTGCAATTGGTGACAAGGTAGAAGGAGGAAAAGCTATTTGCAAMATTGGGGTTGTYTTGCTAGRATCAGGCAAAACTGAAGCGGCTATYCAATGTTTCCAAGAGAGCCTAAAGATTGCCATATCATTGAAAGACAAGGAAGGAGAAGCAGCGTCCTATACTCAGTTAGGAAAGGCATACTTTTGTATGAAGAGGTATGACGAAGCCATTAACTATTTAGAAATAAGTCTGGATTTTGCAAAGAATATTGATGAGAAAAATCTTGGAGGATGTGCTGGCTTCGAACTCGGATTGGTATACTACAGTCTAAGCATGAAGTTTCATGAGGAAGGTGATGAAGAAAAAAGTAAAGATGCAAAAACAAAGGCGGAAGAAAACTTAAAGAAGGCTTTGCAGTGTTGGGAATGGGAACTGAATCATTTAAGGGATCTAAATGATTTCAAGATATCCATTGTCGATACATTCATCGCAACCTACAAGCTTCTTACGAAAGTGCTAATTGAACGTGGAAAAACGGAAGAGGCCTTGCTGATAAGCGATCGCGGGCGAGCGCGTTCATTAGGAGATATTCTGGCTTCAAAGTATGGTATCACAGAAGCAAGATACCCTAGCCAAACACCATTTGAAAGCACTGATCTAGAAAGTGTTTTATCGAGTAATCAATTCTGCATTCTCTTCTTTGCAATAGGACATAAACACTCGCAAATCCATGCTTGGGCGTTAACACATAAGAAGCCCATAGTTTACGTTAACATTGACAGCCAAGCATTGACTACAATCGAAGGACTGCAGCTGGGAGAAAGAAGTCGCGAAAACCGATCATTATTCAGTTTGCTGATTACCCCTGTGATTCAACACCTCCAACACGAAGAGATCGTCATCATTCCTGATGGACCTTTGTACAGGGTGCCATTTGCAGCTTTGAAAGATCCAATTACAGAAAAATTCCTATCTGAAACAAAGCGTATTCGTTTCTCGCCGTCACTAGCGACTTTGAAAGGTTTAAGAGAATGTACTGTTGACTTCCACAGTAAAACAGGCGCGTTCATAGTTGGAGACCCAGATGTTGGAGACGTAGTTCTAAGGAGGGGAAAGACTTTACTCACTCGTCTTCCATCTGCAAAGCGCGAGGCCAAATATATTGGAGAACAATTGGGTGCCGAGCCATTAATTGCAGCGCTAGCGACAAAGGAAATGGTTAAACGAAAGTTGAAAGAGGGTGTTGCTGTCATTCATATTGCAGCACATGGAGACTCCGAACATGGACACATAGTCCTTGCCCCATCACCAAGAACAGATGCAACAGGTATCCCAGGCGAACAAGACTACATGTTAACAATGCAGGAGGTACAAGAGATTGGTGTTACAGCACAACTTGTTGTCCTAAGCTGCTGTTACAGTGGTCGTGGGGACATCAGGGCAGAGGGAGTGGTTGGAATGAGTCGAGCCTTTCTTGCTGCAGGAGCTCGTGCTGTTGTGGCGTCGTTGTGGGACATTAACGACGAAGCTACATTAGATTTCATGAAAAGCTTTTACGCGTCTCTAAGGATGGGAAAAAGTGCAAGTAAAAGCCTACAAATTGCCATGGATGACATAAGAAGAGAAGAAAATTTTGAAGACCCAATGTACTGGGCTCCTTTCTTTCTTATTGGTGATGATGTCACCATCAGTGTATGAGAAATTAGAGAGAACCAAGATTACAGTGAACCAAAGTACTGGACTCCTTTCTTTCTTATTGGTGATGATGTCACCATCAGTATATGAGAAATGA